TTATAGAATTGACTCTGGAAGGCAAGCGAGTGTGAGAACTCACAGACATTGTTATAGGGATGATTTCCTTCTATCAAACTTGAACCTGCCCAAGTTCATTTTGCTTGGGATCCATCCACCAGCTATATTTCCTTGGGTTTCCTCTCTTGTTTGTAACTTTCTAAGCTTCCTAATTCAGGAAATGCTTGGAGATGAGGCTCACTTCCACGGAGAGGTAGCAAGGCTTTGGGCAGGTAAAGAGTGCAGCTTTGAAGCCAGATGAACCCTGGATTGCCAGGCAATGTTCTTGCCTTTTCTCCCTGAGGAACCATTTGTCTCCCACCCTCACTGACATTTGTGGTTACGCTGTTTGCTTTAGGTGAGTGACTGCTTGGTATTGCAAGGTCAGGCAAGAGGTCAGACTTCAGAGCTCTCTTCAGGAGCCTTCACACATGTTGCTGGATAATGAATGGTACTAAGGCATTCAATTTGGGAAGTTGTGGCAAAGGGAAAAAAGGTTTTAGTTTCTTTCTTGGTAGGTAATAGGATAAAGGCAGAAGAAGTGTAAGTTAAAATAAAACAGAACATGGCACCAACAGTTTATTATTTATCTATTTATTTCGAGACAGGGTCTCACCTTGTAGCCCAGGCTGGCCTTGAACTCGTTATCTTCCTGCTTCACCTCCTGAGTGTTGGCATTACTGCATGTGCCACCATGCCTGCAAACACAGTATATTTTATAGAACTTTATAATGGCAAGCTATCTGAGTCATGGGTGAGGAGGGGCAAATCCTACTGACTGTTTTTAAATTTTAAGACCTAGGATTATGTAGACCATTAACAGAATCATATTCTAGAATTCATAAGACTAGAATAGAAATCAGATAGGACAGAATAGACTAGAACAGTCTGGAATAATCAGAGTTTATAGGAAGAAAGTGGTATTCAATGTTCTATTTTTAGTTTCCTTAAGATCCACTAATATGATTGAGGAGTAATTTAAAAACCCTTATATAGTAGACAGAAGGTGACTAGATAGAGGAGAGGATGGAATTACCTCTCACTTTTCCCTAATTCAATGAAGACCCCCTGTTGATAAACATTTATGTGGTCTCTTTTTCTGATATGAATAATGAGAGTGTGAACGTCCTGGTGCCCTGTGCAGTGCAGCTAAAGTGATCCCCAGAGTTTGGTTTCTTGGTCAAGCAGGTGAACAATCAGTAGGTATTGTTAAGGTCTTATGGAGACCATAGGATGGTTACAAGGAGTTACATATTGTGAACCCAGACTCTTTCGTTTTTTAAAAAATCATTCTTTCAATATTCTAAGACCCTTACATGAGGATTAGCCACCCACATGGCTATCTTCCCATGAGAGAACTTTAAGAGAAGTCACCAACCTCCCTTTTTTCAGTAGGTTCCTTGTGTTCCTTTGTGAGCAAAAGGCTGCTGTCTGTTTGTATCTCTGTAGCCCAGGCACTTGACCTTTCACATGAGTGTCCACAGTTATATTTGCAGGTCAGACCCTCAGGGATTATGATCATTTTTAAGACTCTGCCTAAAAATGTCCTTTTATTTACTATCAAAATGGAATTAAGGGGAAATTGCCAATAATATTTACACATTTAAGCAAACTTAGAAAATTTTTTATTTTATTTTATTTTATTTTTTAAATTGTGCTGGGTGGGGGGTACATTGTGGCATTTACAAAGGTTCTTACAATATATGAAATACATCATGCTTGAATTCACCCCCTCCGCTATCCTCCTTCATCTCCCCCTCCCCCAAACTTAGAATTCTTCACCAGAGGAGTAGGGTGCTTTTCCTGTCCCCTACGTGACTCATGCAGCTCTCTAGTCCTTCCTGCAAATTCAGGGCAAGCGTGCAGCTCAGTTATACCAGACTTGTTAGCCACAATGTGACCATGTTCTCATTAGCCTCTTTTCACTGGTTCTGGGTTTTTTTGTTTACATTGTATTAACCTCTTTATTGACTCTTGTGTAGTAAAGTGCTTCATATTCTTTTGAAAAAGAGGCAGGCAGGCAAGGAAAGTAATCTCTTCATTTAATGAAACAGGAATTTTAAGATAGATATCGTATGGCAAAACAGTAAGAATACAGGCTGTGAAATTTGCTTTAGACTAAAATGATGTGTGGATGACTTCCAGATCACTAGCTGTAGCTTGGAACTGATGATTTAGCCTCTCTAAGCCTCAGTTTACTCCTCTGTAAAGTGGGCATAACAATGCCTTGAACATAAGAGTTTCTGCAAGGATTAAATGAGATGCTCAGCACATTAAAAATGTTTATTAGAAAATTCTAGGGTGCAGATCATTGTGATTTGTAGCTCTTATCCCTTGGATATGTGGAACCACTCCCTCAGTTTTTGTCAGGAGTAGACTGTGTTTTCTACCTTTCTGGAACCTTTGCATGGCATCAGAAACTGCAAGCCCTGTTTGGAGTTTGTTTGAGGATCACCATATCATGGGAGGTTTCTTGTCGAATCACAGGGCCCCCAAAATGATCTCTGTGCTCAGGGAGTCAAGGCTCAGGTACTGTCCCTGAAGTCCTCCTCCCCACCCATACTCTCTCTCTCTCACTCTCTCTCTCTCTCTCTCTCTCTCTCTCGTCATCTTTAGAATACAGCACATTGTGGATTTGTCGGTTTATTTTATCCCTCTCTCTCCTATATTTCCTACAAACTGGAAGTTAGTTCTGGAGGTTTTTGCTTCAAAACAGCCTGGGGTGGTTTCACCTACCCACCATTTGGCAAAAGGGGTCTTATGAATCTGTTGCCAGTCACAAGCCCTGCAACCAAAGCTGCTGGATCCATAGTTCTTTCAAAAATGTGTTCTGAGCAGGCTGTTTTAGATGAACCAGAGAGGCGGCTGGCTTAACCAGATTCCGTTCTAGCTGGGAGTGTTGATGGTGGGAGAAAGACAAGTTAAGAGTGAAATCATGATGGCGTTGGTGAGGGATGCTCTTTCACTGACTGGGACTATAGCCTTTGTGAAGGATGAGAGAGGAGAGAGGGGAAAAAAGGAGAAAGAAAGAGGTGTATCCTCAGGGTCTCCTGCATGTGCAGGTTAAATGCGGCTCTGTCAGTCAGGCCTCATACATGCGCTGAGTGGGACAGGGATGGAGACAGGTGCTTCAAGGGGCCTGGATGTGCGGTGGGTCTGGGGGACGAACCAAGGTCTCCTTTCCCTGGAGTTTGCCCTGTGCTCAGGGGTCTGAGCTCACAGTGCTTTCCTATTACCATGTTTTTCTCATTAATAAACCACCATTTTAAGGACTAATCAGTTAAACACAGCTTTGGGGGTATTATCGGAGAGGGTGGCAGAAGAAGGAATTCACATGCTTATTTACAGATCAACTTTAAAACCTATCTCCATTTCAGAAACGTTAGCCAGTGGAAAAATGTGCTGTTTTGAATGAAAGAAGTACTTGCTTCCCCTTTATTTTGGGAACTACAGCTCACTAGTTTCAAAAAGAGATGTGGCTGTTCTTTAGAGCCTTTACAGGATAATGAAATGATAAACAAGTCCAAGCTGACAGACCACCTGGAAGCCTGCAAGAGCGCAGGACAATGTGGCAACCAGGCAGGGAAGGACAGAGTTCAGACACAATCCCTAGACATTTCTTAGCAAACTTCTTCCCGATGAGGGACTGCCTGCTTTGCAGCACCTCTCCCCCAAACCCCAAGTCACCTTCCTCTCCTCTAAAGTTCTAGAACTGAACCCCAATTTTGCAGTGCTCTAGAATCACACCAATCAAATGGGAAGCACCATGTCCTCACTAGACCCCAAAAGAATCTGTTCTGTGGGAAACACTGCCCTGTAAGCCCTGTAATGGAGATTGTAATAGATTTTGTTTTGTTTCTAAACTATGCATTCAACCCCAAGGCTGTACTGCAAGGAGATAATTATCTGATTCAGATTTTCAAAATCTTCCTTTAGTCTCCAGAGAACTCTCTGTCCATCTTAGAATTAAGTGAATGAAGAAATGGAAGAGTTTAGCATTTACAGACATTATGCAACACAAGTCTCTTCTTCCCATGGGGGCTTTCCCTTCCCAGACCTATCTGCAACCACAGCTTATGGGTGCCATCATTATGTCTAGCTCCACCATCTCTTCTGGTTTCCAGGCTCAGATCTCTTCCTGGGAAACCTACTGGATCTTATCATCTAGATGTTCCTAGAAGTATCTTTTCTTCCATACCAGTGTCCCCTTTATTTCCTGACTTGGGGAAGGCCTCCTAAGTCCTAAGCTGCATTCAGTTAGAGCCAGAGTCTGTACACTCCAGTTCTTAATCGCACCTGATTTTGAAGCCTCCAGTCCACTCCCCTTCGCCTCGTACACTGCAGGTGTAATATCCAAGTTGCCAGCTTTGAACCTAACACATGTCTCCTTCTCCAGCCCCTACTTCTGGCCTTCTCTACCCACTCCTAGACAGAGGGTTTAATGGTGTCAGAGTAGCTCTCTGAAGGGGTCACATGATCTTGAGGTCACTTTGGTTGCACATGAAGTTTCTTCTTCTGGAAATCCCTTTACTGAATTTGCCACCTGACTGACATCCCTTCCTTCTCCATTCAGAGCATTTTCTTCAGGAAGCTTCCTTGACCATCTCCTTTTTGTCTTGCCTGAGCTATAGATGTCCTTTCTTAGGTCTTATGCATCCTCTGTCATTGACTTGCCACACTGTACCATAATTTTAATTCACACATCTTTGCCACAGAATATGAGTATGTTTACAGTAGGAATTCTGTCTTACAGACAGAATATTGATGCTCAATGCATACTTTCGAATGAATCAATGGATGAATGAATGAATGATTGAATGAAGAAATGAATGACCAACCAAAAGCCATTTGTGGGCATTATCCAGATTTGAGTGTATTAATCTATGCACAACAAAGGAAAAGAATGTAGTAGTTTTACTTTTCTTAAATGAAGAGATTTGGGTGGCTTAAAGCCAGTTCTGGAATGGTAAAACAATATTATTGCTTTTATATTCCAACAGGAAATATGGGATGTATAAAATCAAAAAGGAAAGACAGTCTGAATGACGATGGAGTAGATTTGAAGACTCAACCAGTACGTAATACTGACCGAACTATTTATGTGAGAGATCCAACGTCCAATAAACAGCAAAGGCCAGTAAGTAGATAGTCTCAGGGGAGAATTCCCACAGCAGGATCAAAGCATGGCTGCGAAATTTCAATCCCAATCTATAATATGTGCATGCAAAAAATCACATTGATTACTTGGGCCTCAAATAATTTTTGATATGCTTTGTAACTTAGTCCTTGGAAGAGTGTATAAATATTTTAGGGCTAGCCTTAGGGTAGGTAGTGAGATTAGCACCGTGGTCTGGAAGCAAAAGAAAATGCTAAATTCAGATCAGAAGCTTAAATCTGTGCTTTTATGTCTTTTGGTGGATCATACTTTTATTCTATCTTGTCATTTCTTCAATCAATTTAAGACAGTACAGATAACTGAAGTTGTCCTGATTTATTATAGTGAATTAAAAGATTAAGAAATAGTGCATCTAATTCTACCTCTGAATCTTAGACAACTACCTACTCTAGATATGCTTGGCCCAGCAAGAACAAATATTACATTTTAGGACAAGATAGAACTTGAGAGTCTTGGATAATTACAACCTTAAGTCTGCTTTATTTTAAATCTTGCGTGTATTTCTCACTATATGTCTGTTTGTCCTCCTATAACCTGGTTTTTATGGAATCCCTCAGCATTTAAGATGGACACAGCTTTTTCCACATTAGTCCAAATGCCTTTATTCAAAATTTTCATAGTTTCAGTTTGACATGTCTTAAATGTGTTAAAGCCTTAGAAATCTATTCTTATTATCAAGCCATCTGCTAGCCCTCTCCCAGGCTTTCCCATTATCCTGAAGATAGGACTTATCTATCACAGGTCAGAATCTGGTGTCATCATGATTGATAAGTCAGAGTTAAAGAAAAGTGAGGTGAAGAGTGACTCTATTATGCTATTAAGCTATCCACATGTGATGCTTCTGGATAGATAAATTAACATTGTAACATGTAAAATTGCAAAAGAAAATTTATCTAATCAAAGGGTGTAAGATTACTAGTAACTTTAATAATTCAGTGATGTTAACTACATATGAATATAAAATTTACAAACTTTTTCATAAATATGTATGACTGTAGGTTGTATTAATATGATTAACAGTAAGTAAAATAAGAGGCATTAGAGTCATAAATAGTTTTTTTTATAGATTTCAGGGTTCTCATGAAAAGGACTTGTTTGTTTCTAGCAACAAATGCTACAGATTTCATATGCTTTAAAACCCAAGGGTTTTTGTGGGGTGGTTATTTTGTTACTGTTTTTTAAATGATGAATGAAAATGTCCTATATTCAGAAAAGCAAAGGAGACTAGTACAAAGACACATACCATTTTCTCCTCTTGCTCAAAGTACAGATTAAAAACCAAGTTGGGAAGCAGAAATAAGTAGTAAGCATGTTTGAAATCTTTTGATTTCCTCATGTATACTGTAAGTATTTTAGTTTGTGTCTTCTGTGGTCACAGATGCCCTTGCCTCATTAGCTGGTTAGTTTAGCCTCATTCCATGCCCATATATAGCACTCTCAGTCTCTGCCAGGTGTGCCAAAATGCATGCCATGGAATGATTGCCAGGAGAGTCTGATAAAGGAGTGCAGGGGGCAGGGTGTAGAATTTATGCAACTCCACCACACTTGAGGAAATGCTAAATTTTAAGAGAAAATCTAGAGTGATGGTATAAGACTTGAATATATGTGTTTTGGTCTTATAAAAAATATACTGAAATGGGATGGGTGTGGTAGCATATGCCTGCATATGCCTATTGTTCTAGCTACTTAGGAGGCTCAGGCATGGGGGGATCACTTGAGCCCATGAGTTCAAGACCGACCCCAGCAACATAGTGAGACACCCATATCAAAAAGCAGGTGCATTAAAGTATTTGTAAATTAACATCTCTGATATTTGCAGATCAGCTTGCTGCTTTCAGAACTATTTAGTTTCTCATCTAATTATTTCCTCTAAATCATGTAAAATATTTTTGCTAACTAAGCAAATGTAAATGACTGAAAAATCAGTATAAAATTTCTGAAATAAGTCCTTTTCCTTTTTAGGACTGTACTAGGATTTGAACTCAGAGCATTGCATTTACTAGGCATGTGCTCTGCCACCTGATCCAGGCCCCCAGCTCATTTCGTTTAATATTTTTTTGGATAAGGTCTTGCATTTTTGCCCAGGGCCATCCTCAGACTATGCCTCTCCTACCTACGCCCTACAACGCCTGGCTTGTTGGTTGAGATGGAGTCTTGCAAACTTTTTACACAGGCCGGTCTTGAACCACAATCCTTCAGAGTAGCTGGGAATTACAGGAGTGAGCCACCATGCCCAGCCTTTGAAATAAATCATGGAGGATAATATGTACCCGTGGATTTTTTAATTCCTCAAAGTAGTGATTTTCCCCCCTTACTGATTTAGAGATTGTTATGGACTGACTTTCATCCGAAATTTAAATTTCAGCACAAACTATTTTGGTCCCATTCCATGAAATTACTTTAATGAAAGAGAAACAGAAAAACTACATGGTTTGTAGTACCTGCCTCTGAAGTGACAGTGCCTTCCTTACAAGAGGCCTCTGGTCAAACTCAGCCTCATCATGGCATTGTGAGAAAATGGGTTGATTTAGAAGGTAATTGAAGTAGCTTTTCGCATCACCAGGCCCTGCCTAATAATTCACCCCCCAGCTATAATAACAGGGACTACCATCTGTCCCCGCCACAGACTCAGGTTCATCCAAGAAAGCCTGGATCCATTAGGACTTGCTCTTAACTGCAAGTGACAGCCCTGACCACACAAGTTTATCAAGCCCAGGAAACGTGGAGGTGGAATGGTGTGACAACTCCTCAAAGTCACCAGGACCTCAACTACTTCTGTGTTTTGCCCTGTTGTTCCTTGTGTTTGGTTTCTATGGCTACTGGGACTTTAGCCTTCACTCGTTTCTAGGCAGAAGAAGGAGGCAAGAGAAGCAAAGAGGCTCCCCAAAGTCCCACACAGCCACTGAACTTCTGGAGCATGCCCTCCTCCAAATGCCCAGGAAGGTTTCAAAGCAGTCATAGAGCTGCGCAAATTGCCACCCTAAATAATATTAAGGTTCTGTTACCAAATATGGGGGAGAATTAGGATAAGGTGGGCATCTGAGCCCCGCCTCCTAGAACCCTGTTTACTTCCTGCCCATAGAGGCAAAAGCCTGTGAACACAGAGGGAGCCCTGTCCCTAAGCCCTGACTGTCATGGCGTCGCTCTATTGGAATTTCTCTCTGTTCTGCTCTTCTTTCCAGCTTAATAAAATGAACATACCCAAACTTCACTTGCTACTGTTAGAAAAATGATATACAACATGAGTGTGAGTAGAAGCTAAGCATAATTTTTTTCTAACAAATACTCTTTTGTAGGTTCCAGAATCTCAGCTTTTACCAGGACAAAGGTTTCAAACTAAAGGTACGTTTGCCTAGCAACATAGATAATATGTTTTCCTTACTATTAGGTCATTCGTAAAGTAGTTGTTCTAGATGTTTGTACTTATTTTTTGTTGTGGGAAAACACATGACATAAAATTTGCCATTATAACTATTTTGTAAGTGTGGAGTTCAGAGCCTCAAAGCACATTCCCACTGTTGTGCCCCCACCCTCACCAGCCATCTGAGAACTTTTCCATTGTCCCAAACTGAAACTCTGCACCCATTAAACACTGCCTTCTCATTCCCCACTCCTTTTTTGTTCCTGGCAGACACCGTTGTATTTTCTGTCTCTACGAATTTGATTATTCTAGATATCTCATGTGAGAGGAGGCACACATGAGTGTATCTGTCCTTTATGCCTGGCTTATTTAACTTAGCTTAGTATCCTCAAGGTTCACATATATATAGCATGTATCAGAAGTTCATCTCTTCTTAAGGCTGATGATATTCCATCATGTGTGTACCCCACAGTTGATTCATCTATTTACCGATTAGTGGACAACTGAGCTGCTTTTATCTTTTGGTATTGTGGATGATGCTGTTATGAACATGGTGATATCATTTCTTAAAGATGATGGAATTAAATTTGTAGATTATATGGGTTGTGCTAGTGAATGCTGTGCACTGTAAGTACAGCATGTTACTTCATAGACCCAGAGCCCGCTCGGTAGGAAGTTCACAACCTCATTCTAGTGGCTTCTCTCTTCAGTGCTTCCTCTCATCCTTTGTGCCCCATGAAGATTTGTTAAAATGCTCCTGCTGATGGATTCCAAAAGCTCTTTGCTTTGTGTCTTCATTTTTAGATCCTGAAGAGCAAGGAGACATTGTGGTGGCCTTGTACCCCTATGATGGCATCCACCCAGATGACTTGTCTTTCAAGAAAGGAGAGAAGATGAAAGTCCTGGAGGAGTAAGTGTGCCCAGGCACCTGCAGCAGCAGCTCAGGCTGATGGCTTCTGCAGACTGAGCCACAGTGACACTTGGATGCCCTTCCTGCAATGGGCATGAGACCCCCCAGTCTCTCTGCTGCCAGTAGGTTCAGGCAGTAAGAGGAGTAGAGCCAAAGCAATTTCCCTTTCAAATCTGGCTGTACGCACTCTCCAGGAGCTTTCCCTTTGAGGACTAATACTGGTTTCTTTTTTCACCCACTGTGCTACTTTGAGCTTGGGTCTCCGTGACATCTGCATGTTATTTAAAATTACCATTTTATTTGGCTTATTGCTTAGACCCCAAAAGAGCTCATGGGCCCATCAGATGGTCCCGGTCAGTGTGATTTCCCAGGGTGCAGTGCAGTGTTACTGCAGCCCTAGCATGGGAAAACCCTGCTCAGTAGGAGGAACACTTCCACAAAGCTGCCTGGACTTTTCATTTCCTGGACCCCCACATGCTGACTCACAGACATGTGACCCTTGTCAGACCACAAGGGCACAGGATAGTGTGAAGAATAAGGAACTCTAAACATTTTAATTCTAGCCTGCTTTACCTGCTGATTTTGTATAGAGTGTCACTCTGACCTGCCAAATAAAACTACAGGAGAGAGACTCCCTTAGTAAGAGTAGGGTGGTAAGCAACTGAGAGCTGTGTCCCTTTTGGTTGAACATGAGCTTGTGTCTAAACGGGACCCTTCCTGTGACTTTGAAAAGTCATTCAAAGTCTGTACCTTGGCTTCAGAATGACAGTGTCTCTATTCTACATGATTTGTGTATGTGTGTGTTTATAGTTGTTCCTGGTTATCCATGGGGGCTGAGTTCCAGGACCCCACGAGGATACCAAAATCTGCAGATGCTTGAGTCCCTTATACAAAATGGCGAAGCGTTTGCTTGTAACATGTGACTATCTTTCTGTTATAGTTTCAATTATCTCTGGGTGACTTATAAAATCTAAGCAATGTAATTGCTCTGTAAATAGTTCTTACCCTATATTGATTAGATAATAACGAAAAGAAAAAAGTCTATACATGTCCAATACAAATGCAAGTATTTTTAATATTTTCAATCTGCCATTGATTGAGTCTGAGGTAAGCACGGACATGGAGGGCCGGCTGTGTATATAAATATTGCATAGGTCTAAAATGGGTGGCACCTTAGCACTAATTACAGAGGGGTGTGTGTGGACATTGAAGAGGTACAGCTAAGGCTCAGAGGGACCCACTCCATTTCTACCCCATACACCAGCTCACCTGCTCTTTCCAGTCCTGCCCCACCTCCTCCTGGCTCACTGCCTGCTTTCTGGTTTAGGGGTTTGGCATGGTGATGCTTGGAATTTTCTGCAGTGTTTCTTTTTATTCATGGTATCCATCTCTATGGAAACTAGATGGTTTTATCAAACAAGTTTATAATACATGAACTATGGTTTATTATGCCCTTGATTGCTATTTCTATAAGAGTCCTAAGACATTTCCTAGTTATCTTGGGGGAAATGGCAAATGTTTTGCTTGTGCAAGATGAGAACCATTTTTATCAACTCCTTGCTTATCAGCACTGAACACAATGACTCATATTTAAGTTGTAAGGCCACTTTCCTTTGCTCTGTCCCTAAACATATTTTTGTACCATCAAGAAGAGTGAATTTTCCCATTGGATTCTGGGATTCCAGGAATGCTCCTCATTTTCCCTCACCCTGCAAAACAAACACATTAAGATAATTGTTACTGTAGCTCTTGGGTCTTGCATATAAACACTTTCTGGTGTGTATTTCTGTTCCAGGCATGGAGAATGGTGGAAAGCTAAGTCCCTTTTAACAAAGAGAGAAGGCTTCATCCCCAGCAACTATGTGGCCAAAGTCAACACCTTAGAAACAGAAGAGTGAGTCCTTTTGCAGTTGCTATCTTTGATACTTTTGTTCACTTTGGATTACTTGTTATTGTGAATAACTTTCTCCTTCCCTGGAACACAATTCCTATGAAATGTTAAAATGTCTTCACAGGTGGTTTTTCAAGGATATAACCAGGAAGGACGCAGAACGACAGCTTCTAGCACCAGGGAACAGTGCAGGAGCTTTTCTTATCAGAGAAAGTGAAACATTAAAAGGTAGGAAGTGGTTTGAGACCTTTAAAAACACTCCTTAATTGCAGTGTTGTGGATTGAGCCCAGGGCCATGCTCCTGCAAGGCAAATGTTCTACCACTGAGCTTCAGACCTGGCTGCCAGAAATCATCTTTAAAACTATTCTAGAATTAATGAAACAAAGGGCATAGTATGTTATGGTTGTGCGAGTTTTATAGTTTGATAACAAATAACAAACTCAAATGATTCTGGTTTGCTACTAAAAATAACATGGAAAGCAGCTGGAATTGTGGCTAAGTTTTACTACACATATTTGCTCAGCCTCCTGCATTAGTATTATGGGTGTATTTTTAAAAAATATTTGTGTTAGTATAAATTAATTTCTCAAAAGGTTTCCTCATGACATTTTAGTACATGCATATAATATACTTTGATCGAATTTATCCCCACTATTGTTCTCTCTTGAATCTTGAAATTTTAAAAAAAAGAAAATCAAAGTAACTTTTGCATTCAGCTAAATAATTTTCAAAAATTATTATGAAGAAAGAAAATGGTATGTTAGCCACTTACATGGCAAACCAAATGCTAACTTCATTTATTAAGCAGAATTTTTATAGGACTTTTAAAATTATGTATTATGTATGTATTTAACTTGTACTTGCATATTTTATGAAAAACAGGTATAACAGTATTATATAATGCAGGCCTTCTTTATAGAATATAAGCAGACTTTCCTTACGCTTTTTCCCACAGGCAGTTTCTCTCTGTCTGTCAGAGATCATGACCCTGTTCATGGCGATGTCATTAAGCACTACAAAATTAGAAGTCTGGACAATGGAGGTTATTACATCTCTCCACGAATCACTTTTCCCTGCATCAGTGACATGATCAAGCATTACCAAAGTAAGAAAAACTGAAGGTTGAACAAGAAAGATATGTTTGTTACAAGATGTCAAATACTATTTATGTATTAAAACTTTTTATGTGTCATAGTTCTGTTTAATGAAGTTGGTGAGCTGTAATTGATTCTGAATTAGACTATGATGATACAGATGCTCCTTATGACGAGGTTATGTCCCAGTATATTTACTATAAATTGAAAATATTATAGGTGCAAATACATTTAGCACATTGAATCTACTGAATAGTATAGCTTAGCCCTCCCTGCCTTACATGAGCTCAGAGCACCTACGCTGTCCTACAGTTGGGCAAAGTCATCTAACACAGAGCCGACTTTATACCTTACAAATGCTGTTGGTTCGTGTAAGCTGTGGAGTACTGTTCTGAAAGTGGAATGGTTGTGTGGGTACGCTTTCACACCATCGTAAAGTAGGAAAATCCTAAATGGAACCATGGTAAATCAGGGACTGTCTGTACATTCAAAGTAAGTCTTGATTTTTGTGAGTAATTATCCCAGTTCTTCCTGCCTTGTCCATACCATTTGACATCCCATGTTCTAACTAGAAGACAATATATGTTATCTTTGTACAGTGCACATTTTTACAATGTCTCTAAATATCTGAAATAGGAATGCAGATGTGTGTGTGTGTGTGTGTGTGTGTACAAGTTGTATGCACTCTTAGTAAAAGAAAAGAGAGATAATACCACAGACATATTCAAAAATGGCAGGTCAATGTCCTTGTCTCAGGTGCCACTTTCTAGCCTTCTGGAGCCTGTCCCCGTGACCTTTAGGTCCAGTTCCTATATGACTGACATCAGGTGCAAGGGATGTTGCTACTCCTTTCTGTCACCTGCTCTAGGAGAATGCACATTAAGAGTTTGGTTAGGTCTCAAGATATGAAAAGAGCAAGGGACCAGATGTTGTGGAACCTCTCTCCCTCTGTCACCCCCATTCATCTATGCATGTGGCCTGTGTGTTGAGAACTTGCAGTTCAGTAGCCCTACCCTAGACCGGAGGTCCAGCCATGACCTGACCCCATCCCCACCCTTATGCCCTGTGGAGATTACGTTCTATTGAGTACAGCAATCTATAGGCCTTTGTCGTTTGCTTTGGGTTTTTGTTTGTTTGTTTGTTTGTTGTCTTTATAATGAATAAAATAAATGTTTCAAATTATAAGAATTTCAAAAGTCATAACTACAAAAAAGATTCCTCCCCCAGAATTTTAGGCTTTTAAACTATGGAAAATTAGACATTATAAGTCTAATAGCTTGCTTGTTTAAGCTTTTCTTTATAGATATTGGTAAAATATTAAATATCAGTAAGTTGCTACATTAGAGAATTCAACCAACCAAGAATTGAAAATATGGTTTAAAATTACATCTGTATTGAACACGTACAGGTTTTTTTCTTGTAAACATTCCCTAAACAATACAGTATAACAACTATTTACATGTTATTAGGTATTACAAGTAATCTAGAGTGATTTAAATATATGGGAGGGTATGCATAGATTATATGAAATACTACACTATTCTGTAAAGGGAATAAGCATCCGAATTTGAGTATCCAAGGGGTGTCCTGGAACCAGTTCCCCATGGATACAGACTATTGCTTTTCTTAACCTTTGTCTTTCCTTTTCCATTAGAGCAGTCAGATGGTTTGTGCAGAAGATTGGAGAAGGCATGTATTAGTCCCAAACCACAGAAGCCATGGGATAAAGATGCCTGGGAGATCCCACGGGAGTCCATTAAGTTGGTGAAAAGGCTCGGCGCAGGACAATTTGGGGAAGTCTGGATGGGTGAGTGTGTGTGGCTCTGGGGCCAGTATCCCACTCACTCACAAAGAAAGGTGCAAGCCAGTTTCTTTAAGCTTCTGAGCCAGGCACTGAACTGTGTCCAAAATATCATTTCTTTTCTTTTCCTCTGTCCATTTGAGGTCATGAACTGGCCAGCAAAATCCATTTGCTTCAACTCTTGCTCTTCCTTGTGACTTCATAATTCTCCCAATGTTTGTGAGAGGAGAGCAATGGTTCCATCCTCCTGCCTGATTCTCTCATCCTCAGTCTCTGCCTCTGTTTTTTTTTTTTGGTGGTGGGACTGGGATTTGAACTCAGGGCCTCAGAGTCTCTGGATACACATCAGAAGTGCAAGAAATTTGCTTCCATCTCAGGGTTAGGATCTACTGGCTTAATAGGAAGCCTCATATTTATTGCAATTAAAAGGTAGCCAGGCAGGTTTCTTTTTTGTTTTGTTTTGTTTTATTATTCATATGTGCATGCAAGGCTTGGGTCATTTCTCCCCCCTGCCCCCACCCCCTCACCCCCTCCCTTACCACCCACTCCACCCCACCCCCTCAATACCTGGCAGAAACTATTTTGCCCTTATCTCTAACTTTGTTGAAGAGAGAGTATAAGCAATAATAGGAAGGAACAAAGGTTTTTGCTGGTTGAGATAAGGATAGCTATACAGTGAGTTGACTCACATTAATTTCCTGTGCGTGTGTGTTACCTTCTAGGTTAATTCTTTTTGATCTAACCTTTTCTATAGTTCCTGGTCCCCTTTTCCTATTGCCCTCAGTTGCTTTTAAGGTATCTGCTTTAGTTTCTCTGCGTTAAGGGCAACAAATGCTAGCTAGTTTTTTAGGTGTCTTACCTATCCTCACCCCTCCCTTGTGTGCTCTCGCTGTTATCATGTGCTCAAAGTCCAATCCCCTTGTTGTGTTTGCCCTTGATCTAATGTCCACATATGAGGGAGAACATACGATTTTTGGTCTTTTGGGCCAGGCTAACCTCACTCAGAATGATGTCCTCCAGTTCCATCCATTTACCAGCAAATGATAACATTTCGTTCTTCTTCATGGCTGCATAAAATTCCATTGTGTATAAATACCACATTTTCTTGATCCATTTGTCGATAGTAGGCATCTTGGCTGTTTCCATAACTTGGCTATTGTGAATAGCCAGGCAGGTTTCTATTTTTTTTTTTTTTTTAGTAAAAGTAACAGTAAAGTTTATTTGGAGAGGAACAACGGGGAGAAAAGAGAGAAGCATTTCCTGTTTCCCACATGGGAAATGGTAGCAAAGACTCAAAATGGTGCTCCCCAACTCCTAGTTTTATACTGGAGAGCTGGGGAAAATATACATGGTCAAAGATAATGGGTTTGGGTGACTGAAATGGCCAGGCAGGTTTCTAAAAATATTCCTGTTGTTAATGAGTCCTTCCTCAGCCCTGTCACCTTCTCAAGCTGGGGAAGGAGTTCACAAAAATTATAGCAATGCCTTTCTTCTAGGTATTCTCTTTGCCCCTCTCTCTTTTCTAAAGTTTTTATAGTGAACATGAATTTCTTTTGTGATAAGAATTTAAAATTTTTAAAGTATCAAATTACCCTTATGGTTCTAATAAAAAATGCAGTTTCTTTAGGAAAGGGTAGCCTGGGAGGTTGCACCCAGCTGACTGGATCACTTTCTCTCTGCACATTATATACATGACATGGCTTTATCATGTATATAAATGTAGACACACACCACACACACACACACACACACACACACACACACACACACACACACCACACACACACACACACACACACACACACACACACACACACACACCACTTTGTGGGTGAAGCAAAGTGATTTCCTGGTAGAAGGGGCTTTTGAAAACGCTCCATTCCCAGCTAGGCAGAATCCCAGGACTTCCAGCCCACAGCAGCCACGTGGCCAAGCTACCACCACATCCAGAGACCTGTAAGGGAGAGGTTTTCCCTCTGAAATCTACCCCCTGGGATCACAGCTTTGTGTACTATCTCCTGTTGGCACCCCAACAGCCGAAGTGTCATTTAAGTATGGCAGAGTCTGACCCAGCCTGTAAGTAATTCCTACTGCATTTTGCATCTGAATTTGCAAAACTTTTAGAATTCAGGTTATCTGACTTCACATTCTTCATTTTGGTTGGGTTGTCTCAAATCTGGCTGGCTGTGCTTCTCAGGTATTTCCTTTCCTTTCCTGCCATTAGATCCTCTGAGTGAGTGCTGTCTGTACATGTGGTCTTTTCCCACACATGCTCTGTTGCCTACCTCACAATATCACCCTCCTCATTTTTTTCCTTCTTTAAAAAATTAACACAAAATTAGCATAACATAAAATTAGTCATTTTAAAGTGGCATTTATACATCCACAAGTATAACCAGCACCTTTGTCTAGTTTCAGAATGTTTTCATCAACCCAAAAAGAAACATTGTACCCAGTAATCAACAACTCCTCACTCTCCTTCAGCCATTGACAACCATTCCACTTCCTGTCTCTATGAACTTGACTATTCTAGGTACCTTATGTAAGTGGAGGCACAGAATATTTGTTCTTTTGGTGTCAGCTTATTTCACATAGCATAATGTTTTCAAGTTTCTTTCAGTCATAGCATGTATCAGTTTCATGTTTCTATGGCTGAGTAATATTCTGTTGTATGGATATACCGCATTGTGTTTATCCATCCATTGATGGGCATTTTGGAAATGTGCACATCTTGGGTGTTATGAATAATACTCCTATGAACATTCATGTTTTTGTGTGGACACATTTTCATTTCTCTTTGATATATACTAGGAGTGCCAATACTGGGTCCATGTAGTCAGTCTATGTTGAACATTTTCAGGCATTGCAAAACTATTATTATTATTTTTTTAAAGTATTGCCTTCTTTTCTCCTGAAATATTTGTATTTATTTCTGCATATTTACTTATTTTTCCAAATCCAAAGAATAGGGGGAGGAATGGTATGGCTTTATCATGTATGTAAACATAGACACAAACACCACACACACGTGTGCACACGTACACGCACACATCCACACACACGCACACACACGTGCATGCACACATTGTTGTTCAGCTACATGAGAGCAATCTGCAGATGGAATGATTCTTTCCTCTTAAATACCCAAGCGCGTGTCTCCTCAGAGCAGGGCCTTGTCTCACATAACGCAATGGTCACACTCAGGAAATTTAACACTGCTATCTATATGGAGCTCGCATTTGGATTTCCCCAGAGAATTTCTCAATAATGTCCTGTGACTGTTTTCCCCATCCTAGAATCATATATTTGCATTTGGCACATCTTTAATCTCCCTTAATTTGAAAAGCCCCGCATTTTATATCCACGTTCATGAGGCCCACGTTTTGTGAGACGCAGGCCCGTTGTCTTGTGGAATGTCTCACAATTTGGGTTTTTTCCGACGTGCTCCGTGATTTGGCCCAGCTTCTGCCTTTGTGAATGATATCCACGCACCTAAGCAATGCTGTGTTCTGGATGTACATATTGGTTAGTCCCATTCTTGCTGATGGTCTGTTTGATTTGAAGGAGAGCTATCAGATTTCTCCATGGTGACTTGTGATTCCCTTTTGCAATTAGTAAGTAATCCATGGAGCAGTTCTTTAAGACTGTAAAAGAACTTTCTCTAAGGCCAGGCATGGTAACACACACCTATAACCCCAGTACTCTGGAAGCTGAGGCAGGAAGAACATGAGTTCAAGTTCCAGGCCAGCTTGGGCTATATAGAGAGACTCTGCCTCAAAACAAAACAAAACAAAAAAAACCAGTTTTTAGCACCATCTGCTCATTTTTAATTCTCTTGCTTCTTAGAAGCCACACATCTCAATAAAGCTTTAGTACCCCCTGACCTTCTCCCTCACTTCCTAAAAGTGTCTGCTTTGACCCCACACAGGCGTGCTCATCCCTGCCAACTCACTGGAGGAGTCAGGCGCCTGCCTTTCTGTTCAAGGGTTGTCACTTTGGTTAGAGTATTGGCAGGAAAAACACAACCACAATTACATTTAAGCTGTAGGTCTCCCATCCATCTGCGTGCTCTTTCCTCTGTACTCACTTTGCGTGGGGAGTGGGTGGCTGAGTGCAGAGGGGAGAGGAGAAGAGGGTATGGTCTGTGCCGTGTCTATATGCATGTTCACTGATTTTTCTCACTTAATACAGCGGCACTGTGAGACATTACTGTCATCCTTTGGTAAATGAGGCCACTGAGAAGTAGATAAGGAAGTTACCTAAGGTCATTCAAAGCAGTGAGAGGAGAGAGGGAGGCTCTTTTGGCTTCCAGAAGCCCTGGACTCAACTGCTTTCTCAGCTATCTACAAGTGAATTTGACTTCCCTCAACTCAGTTTCTGCATCAGTGAAATGGGCAAATAGCTATCTTATCAGTTGTTGAAAGGAAAATATATGATTCTAGGATGGGAAAAACAGTCACAAAGACATTACAAGAATTTAACTGGGCTGTACTCACTCACTCTAAGGCAATGCATATATAGGCCCTGCATATAAAGAGTGGTTTGGAAATTTGCCCCAACCTCCCATGCCAAGCTGTGAAGCCAGTATACAAGCTAGAATTGCATGGTGAGGGTGAAGCTTCTGCGTGAGAGCACTGTGTATGTGACCTGTAACTTAATTGATGCTGTTTTAAAAATGCAGTTGCTGCAACACTGGTCAGAAATGTCCTTGTCAGCTGTGTGGTGAGCACTGCTTCCAGGGGTGCCTGGTGAGCGCCAGATACTCATCTCTTGTTTTTCTTAACCACAGATGACAGCAGCTAGGGTGAGAAAGCTAAAGGGCACAATAGTGAAACAGGAAATTGCTCAGCCACTATGCTGACCTGGGAAGTTATCCATTCAGGAGCGGGAGATGAAGGTGATCTTCTTACATATTCTTCAAATGTTCTTGTGGGCTGTTAGCAAGTAGAATGGTGAACTCTTTACCAGCTCCTTGGTGGTGGTGCCCAGAGGCACCATTTACCTGC